ATACTCACATTCCTGACTGAAGAAATATGGCATGTCATGTTGTAATAATTGACACTGTGGCTTTGTTATCTTAGAAAAAATTTTGATAAATTTTCTGTAAAATCTAGCATGACCCAACAAACTTATGACTTCTTTGATATTAATAGGTGGAGGAAAGCTTCTATATTTCTTCAAATTTAGCTTGGTCTACCTCCAATTCTTCCCTTGAAGTTTTATGTCCCAACATAATTCCTTCATTTACCATGAAATGGCACTTTTCCCAACTCAATAGAAGATTACTTTCTTCACATATAGTGAGCATCATCTCCAGGTTTTTCAGGAATTTCTTGAATGACTCCCCAAAAATAGAGAAATCATCCATGAAAATCACCTTGGATTTTTCTATCAAATCTGAAAATATTGCCATCATGCAACATTGAACGGTAGTGGGAGCAATGGCGATGGCAAAGGCAAAGGTTCCAAAAAGACATGTAGTAGTAGTCTTCTCTTGGTCTTCAAGTGCAATGGAAATTTAACTATAACTCGAGTAACCTTTGAGGAAACAATATAACTCTTTTCCAGCCAAACTATCCAACATTTTATCAATTAAAGAAAGAGGGAAGTGATTCTTTCATATGGTTTTCTTTAGGTTTATATAATCCATGCAGATTCTCCACCCAATGATTGCTCTTGTCGGGATGAGCTCATTTTTTCATTGTTTAATATTGTCATGCCACCCTGCTTATGAACATATTAAATTGGACTCAACCAAACACTGTCAGAGATGGGGTAGATAATCCCAACGTCTAGCCACTTTATAATTTTCTTCTTGATCTCATGATTGGATTCAACCTTCTCTGACTTTAAATTCAATTTTTTGAGTTGTTTTCCAACAGAATTTCGTGCATGCAAGCAGTGGGACTGATACCTTTAATGTCAACAAAATTTCCATGCAATTTGCTTCTTATGTCTTTTCATAAGTGTCAGAAGTTGACACCTTTTCTTATCAGTTAAATTAGTAGAAATGATGAATGGAGACTTTTGTCCTGCCTCTAGATAATCATACTACAAATGGGAAGCTAATTGCTTAAGCTCTAATTCAAGAGGATCCTACATTGATGTAGTATTGTTCTTCTTCAACTTAGAAGACAACTCCAATGTGCAGTTGGTTGACACATGTGTCCACTTATAATTCCTTTTTTTATCTTCTTCCTTCAAATTGCCTAATTCTTGCTCTAAAAGGTTATTGCTTTTGAGAAAAATTTTGTGAATGATAGTTTTCTAGCTTAAGATCATTAGAAGAATCACCACTTCTTCATTTGTATATTGTAAAGCATTCAACACATTAAAAACAACTTGTTGTCCATTTACCCTCATGGTTAAATATTTTCTTTCTATATCTATTATAGTTCTCTCAATAGTAAGGATGTGTTTTCCCAATAGGATGGGAGTTTCTTCATCATCAAACACAAACTTACCCACTCGTACCAGCACATCTTTAATCTTTCCTTGAGGAAAGTACAAACTTATGTCAGCTAGCTGAAAAATGGTGGTTATTGGTCAGGAAAATCCAATTCCCAACTTCTTAAAGATAGACAAGGGCATAAGGCTGATACTTGCTCCAAAGTCACACAATGTCTCGCCACAGAATGATTGTCCAATGTTACATGGTATAGTGAAACTTCTAGGATCCTTCAATTTAGGTGGGAGCTTTCCTTGAACTAGCTGACTGCATACTTGAGTCAATGCCACCATTGCAAACTCTCTCACTCTCTTCCTCTTTATAAGAACATCCTTCATGAATTTTAAATAGTTATGAATTAGTTGAATTACTTCAATTAATGGCTATCTATTCAATAAATGAGCCACCTGAGTATCTAAGGGTGTAGTCTCAGTGACTTCATGAACATCAGCTGGCTTTGTTTTAGGAGAAGCAATAGTAGCTCTAGTGACTGGCTATTGGTAGGTGTTGGTTGTAACACTTTCAATCAATTTGTATCCATCTTCATATGTTTTAGATAACACTACTAGAAAACTTCATTTTAGCTGCGAATTTAGCCTCGGCCACCGACACCGAGGCTAACTAGCCTTGACAATACCGAGGCTATTCAAACGCAAAAAAAAGCCATTTTAAAGGTTTTCTTTTACAATTATTTTTATTTAATTCATTAGACACGGCTACACCGAGGCTAGATATTTTTTAATTTTTGAATTATTTTTTTTAAATATTATACACGGACTAGCCGGGGCTAACTGCTTTAAACTGTGAACTTAGCCTCGGCCACCGACACCGAGGCTAACTAGCCTTGACAATACCAAGGCTATTTAAACGCAAAAAACCCCATTTTAAAGTTTTTCTATTTTTTTTAAATATTAGACACGGATGAGCCGAGGCTAACGTTTTTTGTTTTTTTTGAATATATTTATTTTATCTGATAGACACGGATGAGCCGAGGCTAACTATTTCCCACCTTGTTTTTCATGTTTCCCTCTTAATTCCTTTCAGAATGAAAGAACCCTAAAATTAATCCAAATACATTTTCACAAGAAAAAAACCCCTAAAATCAAACAAAATCGATTTTGTATGGTCCTTGAGAGATCATCTCTTCATTTTCATCTTCAAGATCATCGATTCTTCTGAGTGGGTTTATTAGTCTCTGATTCTTCTTCTGCTTTTTTTCAACCTCAAACTATCTCTGATTCTTCTTCTGCTTTTTTTCAATGTAGTGAGTTTCAGTCTTGGCCTTTACCTGTTGAAGGAAGTTTAGAAGATAGAGCTGCAAGTGCTTTCAGGAGTCTGATAAGGTAGAACAATTTGTTTGTGTTATTTGTCATTTTAAGGTTAGATTTTGTTATGTTTTTCATGCAAGAAAATGGAATTAGCCACTTAGGAAAAAGCTATGTGATTATGATGTTTTGAATTCAACTCATGAATTTCTAATTCCAACCCTAACTGAGATTTAACAGAATCCTCGCTCTCAACTGAATTGAACTTTTTTATTCATCCCCTGCTTTTGTCTGTGCTGTTAGGTTTAATGATTCACACTTTAATTTTTATGCAGTTGTTTGTTTGATTAATATAGAAAAGTTATTCCCTTATTAGAAGTATAATTTTGAGGTTGAATAGTTTGAAGTCTAAAAGGGTATTGAATTATAGGAGCATTGTGATTACACCTTGATTTTATGCATTTAGTATTAGCTGAAGCAAGGTTAGTGTAGTTTGCACTCAAACAGAACCAAACAAATGGAAGAACAAGTGTATATAGTGTACTTGCTCCATGTTCTGTTCTATAATTACCATGATGTAAACACAAAAAATTAATAGGAAATTATGCTTTGGATGTCACGAGTACGGTTTATTTCTAAAATAAAGGTGGTTTTTCGGCTTTAAATGTTTGATGGTCCAAAGAGTTTACTGGTAAAAGGCACAGTTCTCTTGGAAGATTTTGGTAATTTATACAAGGTGACATCTAAGACAAAGTATGTGTTGAAAAGTTACAACATGGAGTATTACCTTAAGACGAACTCTATTGTTGACGCAGACAAGGCTGCAAATTGGAACAAGCTTAATAAAGTTATGGACAGGGCAATATAAGGTTGTTAAAATGACTTTAATAAACATTGAACATTGAACATGCATATTGAACATGACAATTTTTTTTTTGTAGTGTATACCTCTATCTAACAGTGCTCCTATATTATTAATGAAGCTTCTCAGATGTTTTAAAACAATAAAAGATGTCATACCTGACAGGTCTTGTTTGATAGCTATTGTCATTCATTTGGTCAATGTCCATGCAAATCTTGTTTCAATAATGTAGAAACACCATATAACAATATAGAATGATAGAATTAGTGTTGCATATAAAGTATTTTAGTACTACTTTAATATTTTATTTAATAGGTTGCAATCCTATTGAGATTTTATAGCAGACTATTATATCTCAATGTTAGATATAACTCCAGCAGCACATATATTATACCAACCTCTTTGAATAAAATAATGGCTATTGTGTTTGCACATTAATCAAGATGAAGGTATGCACGGTCAGATGAAGGTATTTTAAAACATTGTCTTTTCAAGCCGGAACTCTCATGAATTAGGGGCATGGTTTTGGAGTAATGTAGGTGGGTGATTTTGGCTCTAGTGTATATGTGCTTTTGGTTTAATTGTGCTTTTTAAGGGTTGCTGCAGAGCTTTTCATAGCAGGTGTTTTTCATAGCTGGTATTTTATTAGTTGTAGGAGGATTTGAACTTGGCAATATTTTGAACTCTTGATCTTCATGTTAGAACTATGTTGGTTTGACAAATTGGTAATTGATTTTGAAAACAATGTTTGAATTAATGTGAGTGTTGACATTGGTAAACACCAAGTTTGTTACTGCTTCTATTCAGATTTTACTCATGAATTTGTTAACTTTCAAAACATTTTTGCTTGACTAGTGCTTTCATCTTGTTTTTACAACTTGCTGTTAAAGCTATGATAGTTGTTATTCATCAATGAATGTTGATTGAAACCATATGTGTTTAGTAATTGGTATTGTAATGACCAACTCTCATCGTCATGGATTTTTGTGTATTGAATATTGTCATCAAGTGTTCCATACTTGGAGGGTACATTGTGCATCATGGTTTGCTAATCCATGATGATAGGTTTTAGGCAGTCTAGGTAGGGACTTAATAGATTTCTTTGTATGTTCTTCGCTGGTTTGGTCTGTTGAAAGAGTGTTGTCATGTGTGTTTAGTTGAATTCATGACAAGACTAAGTTCCAAACATTGATGATATAGTGAAGAATGCTTGGCTCTTTACTTTGCTTATTGTCCAAGTTTGTTGGGAGGTTGGTCAACCTAGATTCCCATCAGAACTTTGTTTGGTTTCATATTTGGCGGTTGAAACCTTGATGCATGATATTTAGGACACAATGTAGGATCAACACTAAACATATTGGTTCCTCTAAATTTAGACAAGATATTTTTTAATGTTTATTGACTCACATGTTAATTTTTTGCTATATAGAAAATGGATCGTACTTGGATGTATAATAGAGCATATTCCGATAGACACGGATTGAAAGATGAGTTTGTTCGTGGGGTTAAAAAGTTTGTGAAGAAGGCTTTGAATCAACCCATTTGTAAATCTGAGGGAGGGATAAGGTGTCCGTGCATAAATTGCAAGTGTTGTAAGATAAGTACAACAACTAGTGTAAGACTTCACTTATATCGAGATGGATTTCATCCAGACTATTGGATTTGGACTCAACATGGACAAGTGGAGCTCAATATTGATACAAGGGGTGGCTCAAATAGTAGTGAACATGTGCGTCAAGCTGACCAGTTTGAGGCAATGGATCAAATGGTGTATGATGCATTTAGGCCTCATGGAGGTTTCTCTCACGCGAATGATAACAGGGAACAAGAGGAATTTTTGGAGGATGAGTTTCCCAACGAAGAAGCTAAACAGTTTTATGACAAGTTGATATCTTTCAACAAGCCTATCTATGAGGGAGCTACCCAGTCTATGTTATCAATATCTACTCAACTTCTTGAAATTAGGTCTAACTGGCATGTTCCACAAAAAGGTTTAGATTTTGTTGCACAAATGCTTAAAAGTGTATGTCCAGTTCAAAAATTTTTGCCTGAGAACTATTACTAAGCATCACAGTTGGTGTCTAAGTTAGGGCTAAAGGTTAAGAAGATTGATTGTTGTAAGAATGGTTGCATGTTATACTACAAGGATGATAGTAAGTTGTCTGAGTGCAAATTTTGTAATGCTCCTAGGTTCATTCCTCGCAAGACTGGCATGGTAAAGTACAAAGATATCCCAGCGAAGAGGATGTTTTATTTTCCAATCATTCCTAGATTACAAAGACTATATGCATCAACCGAGTCGGCAACTGAAATGAGATGGCACCAAATGAACAAAAATAGTTCCAACGTCCTTCACCATCCGTCTAATGGAAAAGCATGGAAACATTTTGATGATGTATATCCTGACTTTTCTAGGGAACCCAGAAATGTAAGATTGGGTTTGTGTTCAGATGGATTTACTCCTTACATTCAAGCATCTGCTTCTCCATACTCATGTTGGCCAATAATAGCTACTCTATACAATCTTCCCCCTGAAATGTGCATGACCTAACCATACTTGTTTCTTGCTTGTCTCATACTTGGACCTCACAATCCTAAATTGAAGATAGATGTCTACTTGCAACCATTGATTGATGATCTATGTCAATTATGGTCCAATGGGGTTTTGACATATGATATATCCACAAAACAAAACTTCATCATGAAAGCCTGCTTGATGTGGACAATTAATGATTTTCCGGCCTACGGTATGTTATTTGGATGGGGAACACAAGGTAAGCTGGCATGCCCTCATTATATGGAACACACAGATGCTTTTACCTTGAAAAGTGGCCATAAGAATTCCTGGTTTGACTGTCATCGTTGTTCCTTTAGTCTCGACCAGGACCAAGGCTAAATATTATGTTGGCTTATGGAGTTTGACTTTAGCCTCGGTCATGCCCAGGCTATTTTTTGTTTTTTGACACGGCTTCACCGAGGCTTAAGTAGATGCGGCTAAACCGAGGCTAACGTAGACACGGCTAAACCGAGGCTACTGTAGACACGACTCTTTTTGGCCAAAGCTAAATGTTAGCTTCTACCGTTTTAGCCTATCCCCGACACCAACACTACGCCGAGGCTAATTGGCTAGTAGCGGTGATTTTTTGCCTTATAGTGTCCAAAAATGGCTGAGGCTAAATACTGTATTTCTAGTATTATAATAATGTTCCACCATTAGAGGCATCTAGCATTTTTTTATGAGGAAACCAATCCATTGTAGAATGTTTCTAGTTGGATGCATATTGGTATCCCATGATGTGGAAATTCTCTAAGAAACTCCTTTAATCTCTCCCAAGCATCAAATAAAGGTTCATCATCTCCGTATCTAAACAAAGTTATCTCATTCATCATCTTAGCATTCTTGACAGGAGAGCAATATTTAACCAAAACAATTTTAGCTAGAGCATTCCATGTGGCTATGGAATTTCGCTCCAAATAATTCAACCAGTTATTAGCTTTATCCATTAGAGAGTAAGGGAATAATCTTAACCTGAAGGTGACATCAATAATTCCTGGAATCTTGAAGTTACTTGTCACTTCCAAAAATTATCTTAAATGAAAGTTTGGATCCTCATTTGTAGCTCTGGAGTATGAACTAATGGCTTGTAACATTTAAAACATCATTGGTTTAACCTCAAACTATGTTATAGTCATCTTTGGACGGATAATACCAGTGTTCATAGTAGTAGGATTAAAGACTGAATAGTCCTTAATGTTCCTTTCCCTATCATTGGCAATTCCAATGATGCCTTTGTCTTCACTGGCACCGTCTGCTAGAACTGGTTCCTCCTCTAAGTCAAAAACAAGAAAGGGAGGAGGACTTCTTGGTAAGTGTCCAATAAGTTGGAATCTCCTAAGAAATTTTAATTTCCTCTCAAGTTCACGGTCTCCTCTATATATTGGGTTAAGAACCTGCACATGCAAGAGCTCAACACCTGTCATGTCACCAGAATACATAGATCATCAAAAGCTTCAATGCCAATTTTAAAAAAAAGAATTACAAGCAAAATCAAGACGTTATCTTTTACTCACTCCCTGGAAACAGTGCCAAAAACTTGTTTCTTAAAGACGTGTGTCACATGCAAGTATACATGTATATTTTAAAGTAGCGAGTGATAAAAGTAAAGATGTTGTATCCACTGGGAGTGGAAGGTAACTTAGGTTGATTTTTACAAGAAACTATCTCTTAGTAAATAATCATGAGCAAGATAAAAATAATATATGATTCTCACAATTTCAATTAAATAGTAAATAAGTGTAGAACAATGTTAAAAAGGTGTTTTGAGTTCAATAATGGAGAGTATGTTGGAAAATGATCCATTAATACAACATAGTTATTTGCGTGTCCATGATATGTTGTGTCATGTCAAAAAAAGGCCAGAAAGTGATCTAAAGGTGTATTTGTACAACATTAAAAGTATATACTTTTGGACAAGGGGACAAATATCTAAGCCTCACTTGTAACCCTAAAGCATTTCTGTTTTTACTCTGAGAGTCCTTTATGGTTGTAGCTACTTATCTCTAAGAAGTTATCCTACTATTTTCAATCACTTTTATCATGAAATTAGTTTGTTGTTGGATCTCTCACAACAACAAACTTTTATCTTTTTCCAAGTTGATATATCAAATAAATAGAATTATTACATACTAATCTAGAAGCTACATCACATAACATAGAAGCTACATCACATAACATAGAAGCTACATTATATCAACTATTCATTGCTTAACAAATAAGATTTTAGCTCATGATGAGCCGAGTACAAACGATAATACTAGTTCTTAAGCTAATAATTCTCAAATACAAAGTAAGGAAGAAATAAAAACCTAAAAGCAACGTCTTGTCATCTTGCAATGGATATTTTCCAAGAGACAACTTCTGTCACGCCAAGACTCAACAGTAAGCACATGAGATGGTGAGAAGAAAAAACTTTATTTGCACTCAACTCTTTTCCACACTGATTCTTCTAAGTAAAATGTTTTTAACATATGCTGAACTATTTCTTCAATCTTCAAGAGTTGATTTTATAGCTTCTCAAGCTAGGGTTTTTCCATTTGAATTGGATCATGGGCTTGAGAATAAATGAAATCCGATCCAAGATAAAATTAGCAAATTTCCCTCTTATTCTTCTCATTTGTATAACATGAAAATTGGGTACAAACAATGGTGGAGGACAAGGTGTAACGTGGCATACTGCAGGTACAAAGGTGTAAGTGGTGCTTGTCCTTTTCCTTCCATGGGGCGCGTAGTAGGTGTACTACATACTATCTTTTGTCTTCTAGCGCCTTTGATCTTATCATTTCAAATCAATCCTCCTTCCAACATAGAATGCCACCACATTTGCCCTAGAAATGTAGTTGTTGTTTTTGTTTTTATTTTTCACTGTTTCTAACCTTTTGCTTTCTTTTGACTTCAAGGTGTTGTCTCTGACTGTCATGTCTGAGCTCATCAGAACTACCTTCCACAAAGCAGCAAACACATAAAGACTACAAAAGAGAGCACCTATTATGCTTTTTACAAACAACGCTAAAAATAGAAAAATGCAGTAAATTTGACTATTAAATGATAAAACAAAAAGTTGAAACTAAGAAATAGGGCTTGCAATAACTCATAAAATGTTGGTTATCACAAATGAAGTCACCAACTACAAAAGTTTTCGACTTAACTTTCTTATTGTATGCCTTATCTATTCATTCCTTTTGTCTTATGAGAACATTTAAGGCAATTAATATTTCTTCATCTAAATCAACTTATTGATCCAACATCATATTGCAATAATGGTTATATGTAATTTAAAATTGTCTTTGAATTCTAGTTAATCGCAAATAAATCTCGATAGGCAAGACTCCATCATGGCTAAACGTCAATCGAAATGGAGTAGAGTTAGTTGTCTCTTTAGGAGAATTCTGGCAAGCCCATAATACTTGGTCTAAAGTCTCATGTCGATTTCTTGGCTTTTTGCCCACATGTCTCTTAATTAACCTATTATAATTTTATTGGCCGCTTCGACTTGGCCATTAGTCTGAGCATAATAGGGAGTAGATGTAAACAATTTGATTCTTGAATCTGAATTAAACTCAATCATCTTTCGACCAATAAAAAAAATGTACCTTAATAAGTGGTTTAGGTTTCAGAAATTCCAAACTTGTAAATTATATGACTTTGAACGAAGTTAATTACGGTCTTCAAATTTAGTTAATAAGATCCCATATATCAAAAAGTAATTTCATGCACTATAACAAGTTGATTATTTAAGTGTAAAAATTTGGTTAATATAGTTTATAGGTTGGTAAATGAGTACCTTGACATAAAAAATCTTATGTAATAAATCAACTTTGTTAGTTATGTATAGAAAATTGGTTAATATAATTTATAATTTGGTTAGCTAGTGTTCACACATAAAAAAAAAAGCTTTAACTAGTAAAATAAAATTGATTAATAAAGTGATAAAATTAATTAATACTATTTATAATTAAATTTATAAAAAAGATTAAAATAATATATTTCGTTGATCAATAAAATCGTAAATAAATTATAAATAAAATGAGTGATTAATAAAAATATATATTTTTTATAATTAATTAAGTGAAAAATGAATTAATAATATAATCTTATATTTATAATTTTAAACAAATACTATTCACCTCATAAATATAGTTTTAAACAAACACTATTTACCGTACAAAAATTAATTAGTGTAAAGAATAGTGTGTCATTGTTAAATGAAAAATGGATTAATAATATATTCTAATATTTATAATTTTAGATAAATACTATTCACCTTATTAATATAGTTAAGCAAATACTACTCATCATATAAATATAGTTGAGTGGGTATTGGTGTAAGTATTTAGTGGAAAGAATAGTAGGGTTAATATCCTCTTCATTTCTTTGTTCTTCCATTTTCTTTATTATTATAGTTTTGTTGTATATAAAATCAATTAAATATTAATTATATATCACATATTTTAGAAATATGTGTTATTTATACATAAAATTATAGTAATAGAGAAAATGGAAGAAACAAAATAAATATGAAGAGAATATTAGTGTACTCAACATTTAATAGAAAATAAGGTTCTAATAATTGTAATGGAAGTTTCTACGAGGTTTGAGTTAATATGGCACGCCATACAAAAATTGTAAGCCGACTCAGAAATCAATTATGTAATACAATTAATTTTAGGTCATTTCAATAAATTGTCATTGATGTAATGTCTATGATGCAGAAATCATTGATGTAGTAATAGTTAATATTATGGCATTCAATAAATTGTCTCATGGCATGTATTTTTTTTAATTGTAAAATTATGCTCCTCTATTCTAAATTATAAATTATTTTGAAAACAATTTATTATAAATTATATATATCATTACAATTTAATTATCACATTAATACATTTTTTCATATATATATATATATATATATATATATATATATATATATATATATATATATATATATATATATATATATATATATATATATATATATATATATATATATATAT